ATTTTCCATCGTAAATCATGTAATTGTCAAAGACTTGTAATAGTAATTAGGGTTTACTTTACTTTTCATCCCCATTTGTAATTTTTATACCCTATCCCCAAAGTATTGTATTAGCATAGGACATTTAAATTCCGCAATTTATCGCTTTCTATATTATTGCTAGTAATTAGGGTTTGCATGGCAAGACTTAAAATCAATACTTGACAACCCTAATTAAAGATAAAATACATGAAAACAAAAACACCTTGCACACTTGCACCTCTAGGGTAACCCATACTTGTTGCCTCGAATAAAATAGTCATGTCCCTCGAATGCGGGATACTTTAGCAAAGACCCTTGATTATAAGATAGTAGTCCCTCAATGACCCTTCGACGCTGCCTTCGGTAAATGATCTTAGACCCTTATGACAATTGATAAAGTATCCTACAATGTTTCCTGCTATGACTATACGACGATCCACGCCTGTCCCTTCACATCCAATGATAGGACTTCTTACCAATCAATGGTAAGATAGAAATTTCTAAAGGAGGAGGAAAAGAACAAAGACTTTTTGAGTAGGTAGAACGCTTGTAGTTGCTTGTCTCAAACAAAACCATCTTCACACCCACACTTTCAAAACATCTTTCCAAAACAAGACATCTTTCAACACACCAACACTTTTCATGAAATATTTTCAAAATTCAACACTTTTTATACATTCTTATAGAGACTAGAATCATTACAAAGTCCCCCCAAACAAAGGAACTTTTCAAAAATACCTTCAAAAAAACACAAACACACTTTACAAAGCATTTCAAAGTGAGCTAGCAACTAAGAGCCCGTAGATAACTACGAATGAAAAGGGTGATAAGACCTTCCCTTTTCATAACCTACCCCTCGAACTCAAGAAAATTCTCAAAAGGTATTTCATGTTATTTTCACCCTTTCCTTTATTGGATAAAAGAAAAGTCGGTGGCGACTCTTGCTATCTGCAACAATTGCGATAAAACACAAAATACCCAAGTCAGTTCTCCCACCGTATTACAATATGGGAAAGCGATAAAATGCAATGCAAACATATGCTCAAGTATATACAAATGAATAAGTCATAAAGCATATAAATAAACACCTAAAGAAAAGAAAACAAGAGCTAGGAGCGACCCTGGGATGGACCAGCAATTGGTCAATTTGTCCCTAGTGAAGTCACCAGCTGAAATGACCGGATGAAAATACAAGCTAGACAAAACACACAATAGTGCATAAAACACACAATAGTGCGTACATACATCTCTTAGAATGCGAGTCCGGATAAATCGCATCAGAAGCGACTTCATATCCCACAAGTAAAGTGGAATACGAAGCAATCAAAATACCAATATGAAAGTTTTATCAAAGTACCCTCGCACAAATTAACAAACAAGTTAGTAATGACAAGGAAAACGTAACTGAAGTTATGCAATCAAATCACAACTTGAATCAAAGTAGAATCATGAAGAAAAGCAACCGAAACAATGAATTTAAAACTCGGGCATAAATATCATCAACACATGAAACTGAGCAAAAATCACATTAAAAACTACCAAACTTATCAACCACAGTCCATAATAAGCACATAAGAATCGACGCTATCAAAATAATTGGGAAAATGGGTCAATTTTCAATCCACAGATTATCAAATCAAAACACACGTTATGTACAAGTCAACCTCTGACCATGATCCAAAAATTGGCTAAAATAGTGTTCGGCGATTATTAAACGCAAGCTTCGATCGAGCGATGGCCAATTAGAACAACTTTACAAAAAAAAACTCAAAATGGCATTCAAATCAACCTAAAAAAATAAGGAAAAATATCCTAAAAATCCCTAAGACACCAAAGGATCCGAACCATATTTTTGTGAATTTTATTCGTTAGGAAATGATCAAAATTTAGATCGACACATGCAAACGAACGTATACGCGTCGCCTTTTGAACACATTAGTGAAAATAATTTAAATGACCGTGAAAATCAATTAAGGAAAATCTAAAAAAAAACATTTAAAAATTCCTAAGACACTAAAGAGTCAAAATATATTTTTTCATATTTTTTATAGCTAGAAAAATCAAAATCGCGAGCAAAATTAAGTAAGATACCAAAGGTTATATACACAAGATTGGAGGTGTATAACTAAATATCCAGAAATAACTAAAAAAACTATTCATGTGGCGCTAAGGCCCAATCAGAGGGGGGTAGAATCAGAAGTTCGTTGGCCCATGGTACAACAGGAATAATACTCAGAATTTAATCAAACTAAACCAATGTCACATTTTTGGCAATGTAGCACGCCTATATTCACTTAACTGGTCAGTATTTTTAACTTCACTACCAGCCAAAAAATGAAACGAGCCAATCAGAGAGTAGCATCCTTTACTACAATTATCCAAAAAAAAACAAAAACTAACATAAATTCTGATTGGTTGATACGGTTTTAGAATGAGTCTATAGAATTATGACACGCTTAGGGTTTAATGGATGAGAACAAAAACAAACATAGGCGTACATCTTCTGTTCATCTTCTCCGACTACATGTTGTCGTCGATGACGACTTACCAAATCTATAACAAAGCAACACTAACACCACGCCGCTTGGAATTTCGAGAGGGTTATAAATCCAATGCTTAAATCACCATACCGACACTTAAAATCAAGATTCGAGACAAATTTCAGAGATTCAATAAAAACAAGGTTCATAGATATAAACTTCATACACTAACCAGTGAAGCATGCCTCTTAAGGAGGACTCCAGATGCACATGTCGATATATTCACGAAGCTCTAACATGATGAGAAAGATTCAATACAACATTCCTGTTGAAGATTATACGAGTGAGATGTTCTTTATAAAACTCTATGTGCCTGCCTCCGCAATCTTGATGACGAAGACGAACTATAGAAATCTTCAATATACTGAGAAATAAACTCAGCGCTGTGCGTGAGTCTTTAAAAGAGGATTCAATCAGAACCGTGGCGGCATCGGCTCTAACAGATGAATAGCGTGAGAAAGGAACTCTCCTTGCTCTGAGATGAAGAAGAGCGACTCAACGATTCGTTGAAGATTATGAAGAGTGAAATAGAAGGCACCAGTTCTTGACGAAGCGATCTGAAGAAGAGTTTCACAAATTTTCGAGAATCATGCCATGTGAGAGCGTTATAGAGCTCCTTCTATTTTT